AAGAAATTTTTAAGTAAGATATAAGACATAATAACCATAAAAATTTATAACTTGACTGTAGAATTAAAGAATTTTTTTAATCAAAATGCAACATAAATGAGAGTGACCAAAAACAGCACGAATATGGAGTAAATACATTTGGACATAAAAAAGTATTAGCATCCAGAATATATATTTATAGAGTTCCTGATAATAAGAAAGAAAACTATGCCCCTATTAAAAAATGGATTGGAAGTATAAATAGGAACTTTTACATAATAGTTGAAAATTAGACTCCCAATCAATATGTAGAAGGTGCTCGATTACATAATTAACTTGAAAAATGCAAAATCTAAATAAAACATAATTTCATAGACATCGATTAACAAATATTAAAAAAGTCATATTTTCAGGTTATACCTAGGAAAATGATTTTCTCTTGATTTTAAACTTTCAACACAGCCTCCTCCCCCAAAACTATAAGATCAGCAAAGAGGGTGCACAAAAAATAACACACAACCTGTGCCTTCAGAATTAGCAGAGACAGAATGGTGTGAATTCCAAAATAACTGTGTTTTTTAAAAAATCAGCAATATGCAAAAGAACTGCCCATGAACCCTACTTCCCCTGCAACTCTAGAGCTTTCAGGGATCGGGTACTTTAAAAATCTTCACGGACAAAGAAAAGGGGAACAGAACTTAGATGAAAAAAATTCCTCTAGAAGGAGAAGTTCAACACCAAGTACTATTTTGTCAAAAGTAACTGTGGAAACCAGAAGTTCACAGAGCTGGCTACAAATCTCAAAGTGTCCAGTGATAGCATTTACTTATGAAAGAGGAAGTGAGTAGAGAAAAGATAGTGACCTCTTCTGATCTGAAAGCAGAATGAAGTGAAATTACAGATGCTATGGGGCGGGGGGGGGGGGAGAAAGAAAACACTTCAATTCCTACTTCACTATCACCACTAACATTGCCATTAAAAATGTTGTATATCACCATAGTGATTGAAGAACAAGCTATCGAATGAGAAATTCATTTTACAAATATTTCAGAATGCAAAAGAGGACAAATGTTAAATAAAGGCATGCAACAATAAAACACAAATGCAAATTGCTAGGGTTCAGGGGTCCTGAAGGAGGAGTGGCATTGGTGAAAGAAGAGGCAGGTTGCAAGTGAGGAGCAGCCTCCAGAAAACATCTGCTGTCCCTAGAGGGGGCTTTATTTTTTATATCTTTTTTCAGGCTTTTTGTTTTTTTTTTTTTAGGTACTTAATGGATAGCCTCAGAGCCTGAAAGCTCTTTGATTTACATGATTTTCAAGAGTTACAATCTTAGTTCTGACATATATTGATTACCTAAGATATTAAGTACATTGTTTAAAATATTTTTCTATAGCCTTAGCCAATCATGATTAAGCTTTTACATTTTCACCTCAATCACTAGGTGCTAGGCTACATGTCTCTGGACCTATTATTAACTTCTAACTTTAAGCATACCTATAATTATTTCATTAATCTTTAACTTTAAAGCATACCTCTGATTATTGGTAAGCTTTCTTACTTCTAAAGTTCCAGTAAAACACACGTAAAATAGTGAAAGCCTATTACTTAAAAAGCCTACTATTCTGAAGTGCCTCTAAAATGTATCTATATTAATTTTACATTATTCTATTTTTAATTTTCAAGGTAATTTCCTTTTTTCATATGAACTATTTTAACTGCTTTCTTAAAGAGTTTCCATGATCCTCAGTCAAAGCACACCAATTCTTATATCTTTGTAATTTTTAACTAAAGGGCAGGCTCTGAACCTCAACCCATTTGCCATTAATATTAACTATGTGTTTTCCATTCTCATCATGAATTCCTGTGTAAGGCAAAGGAGGGTCTGTTGGTGGGGGGAATGTATGTTGTATACAGGTTGTGGCTTTAGAATGGGGGGGGTGGGGTGGGGAACTTAGTGTAAGTTGTTAAACTTTTCTCAGGAACCTAGATTTGCAATCTTTTTTCCTGTGAATTTCTTGAGGAATAACACTATTGTTTGTATCTTGAGAGGCATTGAAACACACCTCATGGCATTTCTCAATTGTATCTTTAGTAGGATACAATTTTAGGAATTTTCCTGCAATCTCAGGCAATATATACTTTTGTCATTGATTGACATATGCCCTATTATCCATTTCATGAATAACATAAACAAAACACTTAACATTCTCCATATTTCCGGTTTCCAGATGGGTGGGCCCCACCGCAGCATCCCCAATGCTGTGACCCTGTCAGACATCGGGTGCAGGAACCCCTTCACCAGCAAATGTAAATATTTTCAGAGGAAAAATCTTCCAGAAAAAACTGAAACATTGGGAAACAACAATTTCACATTAAAACTTGAATTAAATAAGCACTTTAGCATTCAAATGAGTGCTTGGAAATATAAAAAATCACCTGTTGTCAGAAATTAAGAAACCAAACATAAGAGGAAGAGAGAGAAAGAGAAGCTCAAGAAGAGAAAGATGAAACTAAGAAGGAGGAGGAGAGTGAGAAAGGGACAGGGGAGAAGATTAGAGTAAAAAAAAAAAAAAGATTAAAGACTAAATTAAGTTGTGCCAAGGGATAAGAGAGTAACTTTGCCAGGAAATAAATTACAGAGAATTTCTATATGACTATTGTGGGAATATGAATTTTTCATCCACTTGGTATAGCATTTTGGCATTATTTATGAAAATTAAAAGAATGTACATAGATATGTATTACAGAAAAATTCTATATGCTCATTATAAAAGTATGAATCACACATCCATTTTGGACAGCATTTTGACTTTATGTCTTACAATTGAAGATACACTCTGCAGCCATCCTCTCTGGCTCTAGCATCAGTAACTCCAAAGCAGATATCTACAGACCACTGCCGGTTCACCAAATCTGACTGACTGACTGATTTTGTGAAGCTGTATTGGAATACAGCTGTGTCCCTTTGTTTCTGTGTTGTTTATGGCTGCTTTTCTGCAAAATGGAGGAGTAGTTGCAACTAGACCAATTGTCCCACAAAGCTGAAAACATTTACTCTCTGGACCTCCATGGTAAAAGAAAATCAGTGCTTAGTCTAGAGATACTCTTATACATTTGAAGAAATATGTGAGAATGTTCATAGCACTTAAATTGAAAACCTCACAAGTATTCATTACTAGTAGAGTAGAAAACTAAATTGGAATAGTTTCTGGTAAGTAACTATTTATTATACAGTTGTGAAAATAAAGGAGGTACAGAGGTGTGCAACAACACAATTGCACCTCTGACTAAATTACTGAGTTAAAAAAGAAAACAAGGAAGCAAGGGCACCATCTTTTTATTTGTGTCAAATTTAAAACATGCAAAGTTAAACCATATGCAATATAGTGAGTCATATGCTTGCAGTAAAAAAGATAAAGTAAAGCAAAGCAGACTAACTTTGTATCATGTTTATTGTTTGGAGACAGGGAATACAATTTAATCAAGGTGGCTCCTAATTGGAGTGTAGGACATTACTCATATTTTACCCAATCAGTTAATGGGCAAAGGAACTGAACAGGCACTTCACAGAAGGAGAAATACAAATAGTCCAAAAAAAAAAAAAAGAAAATGTTCAACATTTCTAGCAATTAAAGAAATGCAAATTAAAACTATCTCACTGCAGTCAGAATGGCAATTATCAAGAATACAAGTAACAATAAATGTTGGGGAGGATGTGGGGAAAGATGTACACTCATACATTGTTAGTGGGACTGCAAACTGGTGCAACCACTGTGGAAAACAGTGTGGAGATTCCTTAGAAAACTTGGAATGGAAACACCATTTGACCCAGTTACCCAACTTGTTTGTTGGTTTATACCCAAAGGATTTAGAATCATCATACTACAGTGATACAACCACATTAATTTTTTTGTTTTTATTTAAGTGGGTTGTGGGCCCAAGCCCATTTGGCTTATTATTACTATTTGCATTAAGTAACTCTTGTTTGTCTATTTGTTATTTAGTTTTTAAAATGGCTCCAAATTCTAGATCAAATGATCATTGACTCTTAGCAGAACAATTTATTTAATGGTTATGATTTCATTATATAAGTATAATAATGAAAAAATATATTATTAAAATAACCTTATAATAATACCTAATAATGATTACACTAATATGTTATTATATAGAATGTATAATATATATTATTTATAATTATATTTATATAATAATAATATATTTATAAATATTATACACATTATACATTCTATATAATACATTATAATAACTATAGTAAGAATAACATTGTAATGTATGTATTGTTATAGTAAATATGATAATTATGATCCACAAAATATTTTTCACTCTGAGTTTTTGACATCTATTATACACACTAAGATGGGAATTTTTCATAATTCAGTGTTTTTATTTTCTATTGCCTCTGAAAGAATTAGTTGTATATATTGACATATATGGATATACATACAACTATGTAAAATATATTTACATTTCATTGTTTCACGAGATAATTTTAAAGAATGACACATGAGTGATTTCTGGTGTTAAATTCTTTTGGTTAAATCACAGCTCTGCTTCCTGTCAATTGGGTGATTGCTGCATGCCTTTTTTCACCTTAGTGTTTTTATCTGTAAAATGGTAATAATAATAATATTTTCCTTTCCATTTTGTGTGACTGAACTAAAAGTAAGGTTTAGTAGTCATTCATGTAAGGACTATTTCCAACGTGTGCTATCTGCCTGTTGTTCCAGGTTGTACAGCACCCCAGGTGACATTGATTTATGGCCCGCCCTGATGGTTGAAGACCTGATTCCTGGTACGAGAGTGGGACCGACACTTATGTGCCTCTTTGTTACCCAGTTTCAGCGGCTAAGAGATGGAGATAGGTGAAGGATTATTTGTTATACTTATCAAAGATAACAAAAATTGTTTTCTTGCTCCCAAATATATGTGTAAAATAATATTATTGTGTGATTCCATATTTTCTATGATTTCAAATTTATTAAATATAATAAATAAAAGGTAGGTATGGTCTCAAAACTCTCTGACCACTGATAATATCAGATGGCATTTCTTTTGTAAATCTTTGTAAGAAGAAAAGAAATAGAATGTCTTGGAAGGTCAGTGGTTGATAGGATGCATGTTAGAATTACTATTGAGCAATACTCCTTATAACTGTTTAACTTTGGGCAATACCTGACTCTGTTCCAGGCTCCTCATCTGGAAAGTGTGTGTGACTATAGTGCCTGTTCTGCAGTACCCCCGCATCCTTAAATGATATTGAGAGGGCAGAGGTTGATAGCAGTTCTGAGTCTTCTCCTTCTAGTCTCATGGAAGGAGAATTATTGGCCAGCCTCTTTGTAAAATCATACGATGGCATTGAGTGGAGAGATAACTGGAGACTCTTCTCTAAAATTTCCTGATTTCTCTAAAGTATTTATAGAAAATAAATTGAATTTATGAGATTATGGAAGAAAGCTGACTGGAGAATGTAAGTTAGTCATGCAACTTCTGTTATCATTGTAAGACTCAATATAAAAGCTAAGAAATCCAAACCTACTAAGCAGCTCCCCTGAATGCTCTTCAGACACTTGGAACCAAATATGTTTCAAGACATGGTAACCTCTGATTCATTAAGATAGTTTAATAGTAGGATTTAGGATTTTTGTGAATTGGTTTAATAATTCAACATTTTGCATTATTACAGAAATGATGTATATAAAGCTGGAAACATAGCCTAGACTTTAATTAAATTTACCCTAAAAATTATTCTTAACATTTTTCTTCCAAATTTTTTCCACTTAAGAGTGATATCACAAAAAAAGTAGCAAAAGATTTAATTCCCTTAATTATACATTGGCAAATGTTAATAGTATATTTCATTGAATTAGTTTTTGTAAATTATTTTTAATGCTCTGGATTTCTTGCTTTATGTAGTTGGCATAAGATGTTCAGTTGGCATTAATTTAAAAACATACATTGGCATTCATTTAAAAACATACATAATCAAACACTGGAAAAGTTTGGGAAACTTCCAATATTTGGGGTAAGTTGTCTTCCCTAAGTGTGTCAGTTTGTTGAATTTGCTGTAACAAAATACCACACAGTAGGTACCTTAAATAATATAATTTGATTTTTCCCACAAGTCTGAAATTTAAAACTCAGATCAAGGATTGGCAGCATTGGTTCTTACTCTAGGGCCTTTCATCCCAGGTTGCATTTCCTGTCTCTCTGTATGTTCACATCTCTCCTGTATCTGTGACTGTGTTAACATATCCTCTTCTTATCAGGACACCAGCCACACTGGGTTAGGACCCACCTATATAAGCTAGTCTTACTTCAGTTCCCTCTTTAAAGAGGTCTTGTCTCCAAATATTGTCATCTTTCAAAATACCTGGGCTTAGTACTTTAACATGAATTTTGACGGATACTCATGTAAGTGGCAATGTCTTTTCATCTACTATCTTAATTTACTGTTGTACACCAGCATGAAAAAAGCACATATGGCATTAGTATTTAAACATTTATTGAATGAACAAATACGAGACTCACTTTATCAGTCCACTTTTAAATTACATCCTTTCATTTAAAATTGGATCCATTTATTCTAATTAGTTGGTAAATAGAACCAAAGGGTATATGTGGAATTTAAAAACTTATATTTACTTTTTAGGCAAATACATTTATCTTAAGTTTCTTGGAAAATTTCTAAGGCCAGTTCATAAAGTTTAAATTAAAAAAATGTTTTTTTCTTAAATAAGAATTCTACAAGACTTTGAATCACCTTATAAAACTTGAGTTTGAGAGTGATAATTCAGAAGAGTATAGGTTGATCAGCCTTATAAATATTTGCAAGAATTAAAAGTATACTTAGTTGGAGCACAAACACGATCTTAGATCTGCTTTGTATTTTTTCTTTTCTTTTCTTTTTTTTTTTTTTTTTTTGTGGAGCAAAGGCTCACTGTGGATGTTGGACATGCACCTGAGTGACCCATGAAATTGTGTCTTTTCTGTTAACTACCAGGTTCTGGTATGAAAACCCTGGAGTTTTTACCCCTGCACAACTCACTCAGCTGAAACAGGTGTCATTGGGCCGTGTGCTTTGCGACAATGGTGACAACATTCAGCAGGTTCAGCCGGATGTGTTTGTGAAGGCGGAATACCCACAGGGCTACCTGAGTTGCGGTGAGATCCCAAAGATGGATTTGCGAATGTGGCAGGACTGCTGGGAAGGTCAGTAATGACATGTGCACATGTAATGCTTTCAGGGCCAAAGAAACTCCCTGTGTTCTCTCATGTCTCTTCTATTGATCTTCCTCTCACTCCTTTATTTATTCATTTTTGATTGGTACATTTATATATGGGCACAACAAGCTATTGCTTATTTCATTCTATATCTCTACCCCTTTACCTTCTTTCCTCCCTCCTTCTTCGTCTTTTCCTTCTACTCTACTGATTTATCTCCTTTCCAATCTCATTTCCTGCCACCTTCTTTCCCTTATTTTGCTATAGCTTCTAATATGAGAGAAAACATTTGGCTCTTGATTTTCTGAATCTAGCTTATTTTACTTAGCATGATTTTTTCTCCATTTACCAGCAAATGCCTTTATTTTATTCTTCTTTGTGACTGAGTAAAACTCCATTGTGCATATATACCACAATTTCTTGATCTATTCATTTGCCGGTGGACATCTGGGTGGGTTCCATAATTTGACAATTATGAATTGTTAGCCTGCTAATTGTGGTGGCTATCTTGCTATAGTATGCTCATTTTTGTTCTTTTAGACAAATACTGAGTAGAATCCTGGGTCCATATGGTCATTCCATTTCTAGTTTTTTTTGAGGAATCTACATATTACTTTCTATAGTGGTTGTAATTAATTGGCAGTCCCACCAATAATGTCTGAGTATATCCTTTTCCTCACATCCTATCCAGTATTTATTATTGTTTGTATTCTTGATAATTACCATTCTGATTGGGTAGAGATGAAATCTCAGGGTAGTTTTGATTTGCATACCCCGATTGCTAGAGATATTGAATACTTAAGAAATATATTTGTTAGCCATTTGCATTTCCTCTTTTGAGAAGTTTGTATTTGACCTAGTTGAAGTTTCATTGACCTATTTGTTAATTGAGTTATTTGTTTTGGGATAGAGAGTTTTTGAATTTTTTTTATATATTCTGGATATTAATCCCCTGCCAGAGGAGTGGCTGGCAAGACATTTTTTTCCCCCATTCTGTAGGATCTCTCTTCACTCTCTTGATTATTTCCTTTCATGTGCAGAAGCTTTTTAGTTTGATGGTATTTCACTTACTGGTTCTTGGTTTCATTTTTTGAGCTTCAGGGATTTTGCTGAGGAAGTCATTGCTTGAAAAACCATATGATGGAGTGCTGACCCTATATTTTCCTCTTACAGTTGCAAGCTTTCTGGTCTAATTCCTGAGTCTTTGATCCATTTGATTTGATTTTTGTGCAGGGTGAGAGATAAGGACCTAATTTCATATCTAATTTTTTTTCTTCTAAATATGGATATTCTTGATAATTGCCATTCTGTCTAGAGTGAGATGGAATCTTTGCATTTCTCTAACTGCTAGAGATGTTGAAAATTTGTTCATATATTTGTTGACCAGTTGTTTCTCTTCTTCTGTGAAGTGCTTGTTCGATTCCTTTGCCCATTTATTAACTGGGTTTTTTTGTTTGTTTGTTTTTGATACTTGGTGTTAAGTTTTTTGAGTTCTTTATATATCCTGCAGATTAATGCTCTGAGGTGCAGATGCCAAAGATTTTCTCCTCCAGTCAGAAATGCAATAATCAAGAATACAAGAAACAATAAACAATGGTGAGGATGTGGGGAAAATGTACACTCATACATTGCTGGTGTGCCTGCAAATGGTGCAACCAGTCTGGAAAGTAGTATGGAGACTCCACAGAAAACTGGGAATGGAACCTCCATTTGATACAGTTATCCCACTCCTTGGTTTAGACCTAAAGGACTTAAAATCATCATACTACAGTGACGCAGCCAAATCAATGTTTATAGAAGCTCGATTCAAAATAGCTAAACTATGGAACCCAGTCTAGGTGACCTTCAACAAATGAATGGATAAAAAATGTGGAATATATAAATAATGAAATATTACTCAGCCATAAAGAGAAATGAAATTATGGCATTTTCTGGTTGATTGATGGAACTGGAGAATATCATGCTATGTAAATAAGCCAATCCCCACCCCACAAAATGCCAAATGTTCTCTCTGATATGCTATGCTAACACATCACAATAAGTGGTGGTGGTGGGGGTGTAAGAAGTACTTTGGATTAGACAAAGGGGAATGAAAGGAAAAGGGGGTATGAGAATAAGAAAGATATAAGAATGAATCAGACATTATGTTCTTATGTGCATATATGAATACATAGCCAATGTAATTCCACGTCATGTACAACCAGAAGAATGGGAAGTTATATTCCATATATGTATAATATCTCAAAGTACATTCTACTATCATGTGTAACTAATAAGAAAAAATTTTAAAAATTTTTGAATGATAAAAAAATAAATGTGGATATCCTTTGTTCTGCATTTTTGACACCTTTACCAAAAATCATATGGCTGTAAGTATTTGAGCTTGTCTTGAAGTCTTCTCTTCTATTTTATTGGTCTTCATGTATATTTTGATGTCATAGCATGCTTTTTTTGTTACTATAGCTATCTAGAATAATTTGAGATTGGGTTTATGATGCTTCCTGCATCACTTTTTGAAATTGTCTTGGCTATTCTAATTTTCTTATTTTTTCAGATGAATTTGAGGACTGATTTTTCTAGTTCCATGAAGAATGTCATTGTTACTTTGATGGGGATTGCATTGAATTCATATATTGCTTTTGGTAGGATGGCCATTTTGATTATATTAATTCTGCTTATCCAAGAACATGGGAGGTCTTTCCATTTTCTGAGATGATCTTCTTCAATTTCTTTCTTGAGTGTTCTATAGCTTTTATTGTTTGGTTTTTTTCAATTTCTTGATTAAATTAATTACCAGATATTTTATTTTATTTTTTTATTATTTTATTTTATTTTTATTGTGAAGGGGACAGTTTTTTTCTGATTTCTTTCTCAGCCAAATTTTTGTTGAAGTATAGAAAAGCTACTATGTACTTATGTATGTGAGGCATGTATAATAAATATTTTCACTCTAAATTATGTTGTATAACATTTTTTTTGCTAGACAATATAGTATGCATTCTGCCTGTTTTTATTTTTATAAGGCCTTGAAATGGAGCATAAGTTTATTTATTTGGGGTCTCTCTATATTTTTAATGTATGCATTCAATGCAATAAATTTTCATCTTAGTATTACCTGCATATTGTCCCAGAGATATTGGTATATTATATCTTTGCTTTCATTTGTTTATAAGAATTTCTTGTTTTTTTTTCTCTCATTTCTACTTTGGTCCATTTTTAGTTTTAAGAGATTAGAGTTTAACCTCCATGTTTGTGTGGTTTCTATTATTTTTCTTGCTGTTGATTTCTAGTTTCATTCAACTATGATCTGTCACAATGCATGGATCATACCATTTTTTTTTTTATTTATTTAGACTTACATTGTGACCTGGATTGTGGTCTATTTTGGAGAAGGTTAAATGAGGTGCTGAGAAGTTGGTACATTCAGCTGTTTTGGGGTTAAAATATTCTGTATATGTCTATTAGTTCCATTTGACTTATAGTAATATTTAGGTTGGATATATCTTTATTGATTTTATGCTTTGTTGACCTATCTTGATGATAAGGGTGTGTTGAAGTCTCCCAGTATTATTGTATTGGGGTTTATCTGGAATTTAATGTCAACGAGTATTTTTTTAATGTATTTGGGTACCTTGACATCTGGGGCATATATATTAGCTATCATTATTTCTTCTTGTTGAATAGTTTCCTAAACCAGTATGTAATGGCTCTCTTTGTGTCTTTGGACTAATTTTTGCTTGAAATTAGCTTTGTCAAATATGAGAATGGCTACCTTGCCCTGTTTTTATAGTTCATTTGCATGGAGTACTTTTTCCAGCCTTTTACATTCAGTCCACGAATGCACTTACCTGAGATGACTCTTTTGCAAACAGAATATAGTTGAATCTTGTTTTTTGATAAATTTTTCTAATCTATGTCTTAATTGCAGAATTGAGACCACTTATAATTCAGTGTTATTATGGATATATGCTTGTGGTTTGCTGCTATTTGATTTTTATTGTTGTTGTTGTATTTAATCCTGCCTTGGTTCTCATTTAGATGATTGATCAGTGCTTGATTTTCATTTACTTGGGGGTTTTGGATTCTCTTATTGAGATATTCTGCATGTAATTTATCTTTGAGTATTCCTTGTAGTGCCAGCTTATTTGTTTTATATCTTTTAATTTATCGTTGACATGGAAAGTTTTTAATTCCCCATCAAATATGAAAGAGAGCTTTTCTGGGTATAGCAATCTCAGTTGGCAATTGTTTTCTTTTAGTTTGAAAAATGTTATTTCGTGCCTTCCTTGGTTTTATGGTCTGAATACAGAAATCTGAAGTGAGTCTATTTGGTTTGCCTCTTAATGTGACTTGTTGTTTCTCTCTTGTAGCTTTTAATGTTCTTCCTTATTTTGTATGTTGGGCATTTTGATTATGTTTTGCCTTGGAGAACCTCTCATCTGGTTAGATCTATATGAGGTCCTGTTCTCCTCCTGTATGTGGGTGTGACATTTTTTTGTCCAATTCAAAAAAAATTAATACTTGTTTCAGTTTTTTTTTTAGTTTGGAGCTTTCTGGGAATTATTCATTTGTTTGATTGTTTATTTTAAGCTGGCTGCAGGGAGGGAGGATCCCTTTCTCCCGCCTAGTCCTGTAGGTGGTTGCCTCAGTCCTGGGCAGTAGCTGCTTTTCACTCAGGGAGTGCAGAGGGGGAGGGCTGGGCTGCTCCATTGCTCAGATTACTGTCCCCTGGGGAGCTCTAAGGCCAGGGCAGGCTGATCAGAAAGTAGGTCCAGGTCTTCTTACCCTGGGGAAACTCTGAGAGGGACTCTTCTTTCCTATGAGGAGCCCTGGAGGTGGGGAGGTGTGGGCAGTTCTCCAGTGAGAAGCTTAGAGGCAGGTGCAGTGGCAGGCCTTCAGGGGACGTGGAGCATGTAGGCTGCTTTCTCCACCTGTACTTGGCAGTGCGGCTGTCGTACCCTTTCCCTGGGGAGTCCAATGGCTGGTTT